ATAAAATTATAACAGTAAATAAGTTCAAAAGTAACTGTTAGAAATAGAAATTCTCTCACATTTCCAGCAATATTTCGGCAACCAAAACACCAAAAAGCGTCAAATCTGGAAAGTTAACAGATTTAACAACTGTGAACAATATGACATTCTTAACATATCATTTACAGTATTAGCAAAGGAGTTAAACATACCTTTTCCGAGGTCGCTCTGATAACTTCCGGGTGACTTGATATAACACAGTGGCATTAAGCCAAATTCGCTGCAAGAGCGCTGCTCTGTTCGCAAAAAATTTTAACACAAGTTGGGAATGATGGGGCTTATAAATCCAAGAAGACTGATGAAGAGTAGTAGTCAGAGTAATAATAAAACTACAAAACTAGGATTGAAACGACCAAGCCAATGTAAAACGGAGCAGTGGAATATGAACCGATTTACTGCCAATGGTTTTCTATTTTTAGCTGATCCGCTTTCAAGAACTTTCATACCTCTTTCTAAAAATGGAGAGAGAGAAGTGGTTAATGATAAGTTTGATGTGGATTAAAAAGGTTTAATTTGGCTGAGAGAAAGCGTACGGTTTTTTTTCGTTTCCACTAATTTCCACTAATACATTTCGGAACTTCTGCACGATAATGGGCCCTTTTTTGCCTACTTTGAAATCGACTTTTGTACTCAATTATAGTAAGTAAGCTCTTTTATCTGTAAATTAGATCACAGTCTCGTTTCTGAAACATAACTGAAGGTTTATTCTATAGCAAGGCTGTCACTGTGCAGAAGGCCCTAATTAAGATTTGTCTTAGAGGTGTCTTTTTTTTACTGGCTGTAGGTGTTAGTATATTTCCTGTACTTCTTTTTTCATCTTAAAGACCCTTTCCGCCTGATGTTGTAACGAAAAGCTGTTCTTCTGCGACCATGAGAGCAACTGTCATATGCATGGATGTGAAAGTTTGATTTTACGGAACAACTACCGCATTAATTATTTTTTCAGACTGAGTTTCTGTTGCGGAATGCATTGGTTCTATATTGGGAGCATAAAATTCATATATGTAAAAACGAATGCTTTTTATAACTTTCTTTGCCTACTTTGAAATTTTAAATTAAGTGCTGTTACAAGAATTACCGTTAGAAAGTGTCTTGTTAAGATCATGAATGCTGCATGGAGTAAATCTCAGTTGTGGGACATCATTTAGTTTTGTGGAGAAAAAAAAAATTTATAATTCAGTTTTCTGGTGTTAAGTGTGGTGTGCCAAGTAGCTCATAAGATTTTTCTTTGGGAAAAATAATGCAGTTTCACGTTACCTCTTTATTCAACGCTTTATTTCTGCAAGTTACAAGACAGGTTTGCTTTGCCGAATTTTTGGCGAATCATATCTTTACTCAAATTCAGTTTGAATTCGCGCTTTAATTAGGTTGGTGCATTGCCAATTTTTTTCATTATTACAAGCAAAAATCTTTGTTGCGTAGTGTAGTGGTCTGACAGGACTTTGGTGATCAACTAATGGTGTGAAGGCTGTTACCTTCAGTTGTTTTTCACAGAAATCTCTAAAATTTCATGTAGTTTGAAAAGTTGTTGATAATGCTACAGAATGAATCTCTTTTTTTCAGATGGTTGGTTATGGCGTTCGCGCGCGAGCTAGTGGGTATCATGGTAGAAGTAAGTTCAGAGTGAAAAATAAGCGAAAAGCGGATAAGTCCTATGCTGAAAATGTTTCTGAACTCGCTGCAGATTCAAGTCGTGCAATATCAGATATTGGTATCTCTGAAGGAAGTGGAGACAAAGCAGTTTCAGAAGTCACAGGAAGAATTACTTGCCAAATAGGTTTTGTTTCTTCTAATATGCTATTGTAGTATGCAGTTACAGTTGGCGCTATTCCGCTACTGACGTGTTTTAACGTGCTTACTACAGCAGTTTTTTCTTTAAATCTTTTTCGGCAGCCTACTCGTGTTTTTTATGCTGGAGGTTCCTATTCGAGTATAATTGCATGCTGCGCTTCAACGTTTGTTTGCTTACTTCTTACCGTCTAAGGTTGTAGTTTTAAACTATGATTTTAACACTAATTCGGTTTCGCAAGACTCGTATATTGAAGTATGCTGTGATGATTACAGCAATAATAGTTCTATTTTTTGGTTTCCCTTTTGACAAATTTACTTTTAGCTTTCTCGTTAACATTGCTTGCTCGATAATTATAGCCCCGTCCATTTCTAATTGTATTGCCAAGAATACGAACGGGAAAGTGCCTTTGTTTTCTGAACGGTTCCAGCAGCTTTGGCGCAGTGCCACTGCGGTGTAAAGAAGTACCTCTACGTTAAGCCAGCGGACTCCGGAAAGGTATACAAAACTTTTGCATTACACGTGTATATGAGGTGTAACAAAGAGCTTTTGTTTATCAGTGTCTATCAGTAACCTCTTTGTTTTCGGAATTTCATGCTTTTTGACCTCCATTCTGCGAAGATTTTAGCAGAAATGTGAGAGCGTTTTTGTTTTTTTACTTATTACCTTTTAACTTAATTACTTTAATATTAGTTGCGAGGAAACAGCTGTCAGTTTTCTTGTGTAGGATTCTACGTAGTTAAGAATTATAGAATGTGTGAAAAAAATATAGGATCACGACCATTACGAAGAAGATACGTTGTTTTAAAGTGATAAGTTGAAAAAACCTCATTTGCCAAAAAGTAAGAAAAGATTTAAAAATAGTAGTAGAAAAATAATAAATAGTGAAAAAGAGAAATAGGGGATGAAAGAAGGACAGCAGTATTATCAACGTAAATTTTTTTTGCACGTTTTTGGAAGGAGAATGATTCTTTTTTCAAGCAAAAACTCGAGACTACCTTTGATTTTTCGCATATACCGTATGGAAGACGCTATACGGTAGTCCCCTTCGGCGACCACCGACAAAAAATGTCAAAGGTAATCCCGAGTTTTTGCTTGGAAAAAAAACCATTCTCCTTTTGAAAACATGCAAAAAAAAAAAAATCAACGCTGGTAGCATTGCTGCTCCTCTTTTATCTGCTGTTTCATTTTTTCACTATTTGTTATTTTTCCACTACTATTTTTAAATTTTTCTTACTCTCTGGCAAATGAGGTTTTTTCAAACTACCACTTTAAGACAGCGTATCTTCTTCGTAATGGCCGTGATCCTATATTTTTTTCACACATTCTATAACTCTTAATTACGTAGGATCCTATGACAGCTGTTTCTTCGCAAATAACTGAGTTATTAAAGTAATTAAGTTAAAAGGTAGTAAGTAAAAAAACGAAAACGCTCTCACATTTCTGCTAAAATCTCGGCAGAATGGATGTCAAAAAGCATGAAATTCCGAAAACGAAGAGGTTACTGATAGACACTGATAAACAAAAGCTCTTTGTTACACCTCATATACACGTGTAATGCAAAAGTTTTGTATACCTTTCCGAAGTCCGCTGGCTTAACGTGGAGGTACTTCTTTACACCGCAATGGCATTGCGCCAAAGTTGCTGGAGCCGTTCAAAAAACAAAGGCACTTTCCCGCTCGTATTCTTGGCAATACGATTAGAAATGAACGCGACTATATTTTTGTTTATCTTGTGTTATGGTTCAATTTATTAAACCAAAAAAGTGCATTGAGTATATATTTTTTGACTGGAAGGAATTGGTCTACAAACAGCGAAGCTGTGAATAGAGGAGTTGTATTTTTGTGGGTGTGAAGCGTCTAAAAAATTTATGGTTTTTAGAAGTTGCAAAACAGTTGTCATTCGTTACACCTTATCAAAATTTAAGCTTTGTGAAACTGGTTTGGTTTGAAGCTGCGGTTAACTCGAGATATTCAAGTGGTAAGGAAGAAGTTAATGAGGGAGCCTGGAATCTCAATAAGTAAATCGAATGGGATCAAGAATCTATATATAGAAAACTAAAGTGGGTCGCCTGCATAAATACTCAATTATTTGAGTGGCCGAACTAAATTGCTGGCATCATGTTTTTTCAATTTTGTAACTGCAAGCACAAGATTTGCTTTGTGAAAGACATCTGTAGTTAAGAATTCACGTATGAAGTTTAGGAGGACTGTAGTCTGTATCCGCAACATAAAATATGAATAATGTGAGATGTAAACTTTTTTGCACGTATAGAAAGATGATACTTTTGAATGTGAAGAATTGCAAGGAGCCGATGGTTTAAGAGAACACCATTGGAGCGCGCAACATTTGGTAAAGGAGGTAGCCTAGTATATATCTTGAACTTGGCACTTGCACTTCGCGTTTAAGTTGTAGTATTCAAATGAGTTATTAAGGTTGCAGCAGCTTTGTGCTTTTTCACACTACTAGCTTTTTGTTCTTGAGGTGTGTTCGATTTTCGACAGTGTGATCCGAAGCGTTGTTCTGGGCGAAAATTAATGAGATTGGGCTTTCTTAAACCGTTGCGATTAGGAAGTAAATTTCCTGGTTTAGTCCTTTCCCCATCTGCGACTGCAGTTTTATCTCCGAAGGATAGCGATTTTGTAAAGTTACGTGGGCTAGCAGTGATTGATTGCAGTTGGAAGCAGGTTAGTTTTGTTAAACAAAGATTTGTTATCGCTGAATTATAGTTTTTGAGCCCTTTTTTATCAACTGCTCTTTGCTACCGGTAGATCCTTGCCGTACACTTAAATTTTCCTTTCTTAAAGTTCTTTCATCTTGTTGGTTTTTTTTGGTTCGAGTTAATTTAATAGATTAATTTGTAATTTAGGTTGACCATACAGAACTGCACCGCGTGAAAGCCGTTGAACATCGTTTATTGCCTTATTTGGTGGCCTCAAACCCTGTTAATTACGGAAAACCTTGTAAGCTGACCTGTGTGGAAGCCTTGGCAGCAGCGCTTTGTATTGTCGGACTCCCAACAGATGCAGAGTTTGTTTTATCAAAGTTTAAGTGGGGTGCTAATTTTTTGAAGATGAACGAGGATTTGTTGAAAGGGTATGCTTCTTGTCAAAATGCTGACGAGGTAATCGAATACCAGTTTAAGTCTCTACAGAATTTAGAAGATGAGGAGGAAATAAATAGGAAGCTTAAGCTGGTAGAGCTACCATTGTCCGAATCTGAAAAAAGTGATTAATTTGAACAATCTTGCGTTGAAATATTTGTTTTTGATAGCAGTTGTAATCAGCATAATATTTTATAGTAAGGTTAATTTGGAACTTGGTAATTAGGCTTTCACCATACTGGGCACTCGTTATCATACTTCCATTGCGATAAATAGTCTTACAATGTATCTTGGTTAAACAGATGTTTTGTTTTTAAAATTTCTCCCTACTGCTATGCATCAATTGTTCCTTGGTTTGTCAGTTTTGTTTCTTAATATCGAAATGCTTTGCATTCTTTTACTGGGTTTAATTTTCGGCTTTCAAATTAAATACCTTACGGGAAGATGAAAGAGAGACGTATGTTTTCAGTTATGTTTTCAGTTGTTCTATTCTAATAGCAAACAGAAAGATTTCTCTTGATTTTGCTGTAATTTCTCTTTTTTTATTAACGGTTCATTTTTGTGGATGTTCTGTAATTTTGTTAGTGTCTCAAGTATTGTGCAGTAAACGTTTCGAGGCTGGTAGATTTGGAAGGTATTGTTACCGTTTCGTTTTTTCGAGTGGTTTATTTTTCGAACTAAAACGAGTTTTTGAAAGATGTGCTTGATCTATGGCTATAGGATTCGGGAATGGCTACGGGAAATGGCATTGGTGAAGATATGGATAGAATATATGGTTATTCATGCGAGCAGCAGCCATTTAAGCAAGGAGCTGAGGCACGTTTGTATAAGTGTGTCTACTTGGGACGACCGGGAGTTATGAAAGAACGTTTCAAGAAGAGTTACAGGTTCTACATTTTGTTTTTTTTTTTTAGGGTGTTGGTCGGGCTCAGTGGTTTTCTATTAAGCTGATTTTTTGGAAGGTGGGTCAGTTGTTAGATACATATGAGTTTTTAATTGCAGTTCTGGAGGTTTTCGCTAAAGATTTAAGCTTGTTTTATGGTGATGGTGGGACGTAGTGGGGCACTTTAGTTTTGTATAATGGTTCAGAATTATCGTTTCACCTTTTTTCAGTAGATAAGCGTTTGCGTTCATGTAGCTTTTAAAGATGTTGTTCTCTGTGGTTTTGTTTCTCATTTTTAAATAATTCTTAAATTTCTATGTTGCTGCTTGTTTAGTAATTGGTGAAAGTGAATTTGTTTGCCTGGCTCATTAATATTTGCAGACATCCGAATTTAGACGAAAATCTGACAAAGGACAGGCTTCGTTCAGAACTGAGGTCTCTGTGCCGATGCAAAACGGTACAGTATTTACGTAATGGGTGCCTTGTTCTGCATAACTATTTTAGTTTTACGTGGTATTTTTGTCTTTCTGTCACTTTTATTGCTAAAATCAGGTTTTATTTGAAGGGTTCTCTTTTTTTATGATTATTTTTGAAGTTAGGCGTCGATGTTCCTGCTGTTTACTTTGTGGATTCGGAAAGGAATTTGTTTATTATGGAGCGCATTGAAGATGAAGTTAGCGCCAAAGACTTCATTGAATCTTTGAGGACAAGAAGTGATTTCATAGTATGGTTTTATATATTGGAAAAAAGAAGAAGAGAAGTTTTTGTTTTTAATGTTCCTTTATTTTGTACTGAATCGAAAATATATTGTTAAATTTTTTCTGCAGTAGTCTCTCTTTGCATCATAGCTTACTGTTTCAGAAAGTCTTTCAGGATGTTGTTTCGTCCTTTGGCAATCTTATTGGATCTGTGATTGGGAAGATTCATTCGGAAGGCATTATGCACGGTGATCTAACTACATCAAATATGCTTTTGAGATATGGAAATCCGGAACGTCTCGTTATAATTGACTTTGGTTTAACGGAAGTTTGTTTTCGTTTCAAATTATGATTTTCTTAACAGAATCAAGTTTCTCTGCTTTTCTGGTTTGCATTTGGTTTTACGGGTTTTAATGCGTTTTAACTGAAACAATTTCTGTATTTCTCTTAATTAGTGGTTGCAGAGGAACGCATCTGTCGAAAGTAAAGGTGTAGATTTATTTGTTTTGGAGAAAGCCATTATCAGCACACATGCTAACGTCGAATTCTTTTTTGATGCAATCCTCAAAGGCTACAAAGGAGTGAGTGAGAAACAGTACCAAGCAGTTCACAAAAAGCTGGAAGAAATTCGTTTGAGAGGAAGAAAACGAGAAATGGTGGGATGAAATTGATGTGAAAGAGGTTTTCTGGCGGGTACCTCACAGTTCGCGTCAACTGTGGCTTTCAAGAGTTATTTGAAATTAAGCTCTTAGTGGTACACCTGCTTATTGGTTTTGAAACCCAAAATTTTTACAGAAGTTATTTGATCGCTGTGTTGCAGTGTGTATAACTTGATTCAAAATTTATCAGTGGCGTTTGTACCCGTTGAATTTCTTTCATTTCCCGTTTGGTAGGTGCTACCATTGTGTTTTTTACCATTCTTGTTTTTGTTGGTTGTTGTTTTGTTTGAATAAATTGTTAGCTTTATGTGATTAGTAAAGTTTAATTTTTGGTTAAATTTGCACTCTTTCGATCTTTTGTTCTTGGCAGTATTACATCTAATTGGTACCGTTCACTTGTTCTGTCAGTAAGGTTTTTTAGCGCAACTCAAGCCATGTTTCAACACAATACCAAGTTTGCCTGTAGAAAATCGATAGGTATGAGTTCGTTTGAATAGACAGGTCCGAATCAGAGTGATGTGTGGTTTTAGCAACGCCTTTAGTTTTGTGATTTAATCGGGGTTCCACGCTGAAGTGCAGTTGGTGGGCAGTTTTTCAGAAATCTTATTGTTTGAACTTGTATTTTAATGCTGAGGTCTGAACTACACAGCTACAATATGGGACTGGTGTACTGACATTGTTTTCAGGAGCTGTTGGATTTATAGATGAGGTAGATAGTTGATGTTTTGTCTTTTCTGCGTGAAAGATCAAATTCGCTCCCTCAGTCATTTTTATTTCCGATTTTGACCTCCAGTGGATGCTTTATTGTTAATTAAAAACGTCGTTGGTTTACTCAAGTGATATATATGTTTTTTTGCAGCTTCTTTGTTTTTAGTAGTCTTGTATCACTTTATTTTTTTTATTTTTTCTTTTAGTTTAGTTTAATTTAATTTAATTCATTTGTTCTCGCCATGGCATGTCTGGGTTGTTAGTAAATTTAGGTAGAGTTTCAGAGTGAGTTCACGGGTAGGGGTGTTAGAAACGTTTGTAAGAAGTTTTCTCAAAAAATATCTTGATGCTTTAGTTTCTTTGTCATTTAGAACCTTAGTCAAGTCTTGACTTTCGATTTCTTTTTGAGATTATAGCGAAATCAAAAAATTTTTTCTTTAATATAATGGATTTCTGATGCTTTACGTAATTGGGAGCGGAAATTCAAAAGCATCCAATAATATCCTAAATTGTATTTTCTCTAAAATATTGTGAAGTTTTACATTTTTTAAACTGGTTTTACAAATTGGAAACGGACGTCGGTAGTAAATGTATTTTCATCTTTAAACAACTAGTTGCACTAGGGTGTTTAATACTCGTCAGCTTCAATGATAGAGGTAAAAGCGGCGACAGTATCTTAATTTGTTTTTTTTACAAATTTTCTTGAACTCTGCTTTGGTGTAAAGGTATGCTAGTTTAGTTTCATATATGTATTGCACTTTGTTTGTTTGTGCTTTTGCTTTGAGCCAGTTCGTATTTTTTGTTTTTCGGTTTGTAAAAAAGTGCCAAGTTTGACTCCAAGTTGGTTAGTGTAATCGTATTGGATTCTTTTCGCGGTCACATTCGTAATGGTGTTCTTTGGTTGTTCTTTTTAAAAACACGAAAGGACTGGAATTTGAGGGTCTTTTTTTGTTTTTTGAGACCGGCAGATTAACATTTGTTTTACTACAGTATTTATTCTTTTCTTTTGGCCGTGGTAGCTTTAAAAATTTTTGCTTAAGGAGTTCTTGCTCATTTTTGTCAACTTCCTATTTTTTCGATTGGATTAGCTCAATACAATTGTGAACTTGATCATTTAGTCACTGGAATAGCTGTTTTGACGTTCACATATGTCGATGTCAAAGAGGAAATTTGACGAGTCCTGCGACTGTGGCGAATCACTTAAGCGAAGCGTCATCTCTGAAGTAGATAAAAAAAGGCAGTGTTCTCTACTTTTAGAGGACCGGTTGTATTTTAACAAAGTATTTTCATGTTTACTTCTTATTTACTTTTTTTTTTGATATTTTTTGTTAGCTTTTGGTATTAGTGACATATCTGTAGTCTTAGCAGTGGGTTGGTAAAGAAATCGTGGTAGCTATTCGTTATCGGTTTTTTTTTTAGATATCTGGTCCTCATGCAGCTTTCTGTGCAAACTCGTTTTCGTTAGGAGAATTACTGGAGATTATTTCACCAGTAGCATCAATACATTTCAATTTTGAGGTTGACTTGTTATGGATAGTGTCGTAAGCTTTTGAATTTTCCTTAGGCAATTTTAATTCAAGTTGGTAGTTTAGTATGGGTCAAATTATTTACCTGTTTAAGGATGTCGTTGAATTCACTGCATTTTTTCTTTTGTACAAGTTATACCTGAACCTAGAGAACAATTTATTCTCTAATTGCTTTTTCGTGGTTCTTAATTTATGCTTTAGGAGATATCCAGCAAAATGTAAGGAATTACCTATAAGTATTGTGGTTGGTGAGCGAGATGTTTTTAAGCTAGAGCGGGATGCGAAAAAAGCCAGTCTCAATAATATAACTGTTGGAGGTGCATCTCTACCGATACCGTATGGGACGCATCATACGAAGCTATCAGTTCTTGAAAGTGACCTGGGTCGACTGCACATAATCATATCAACAGCAAATTTGGTTCAAGGTGATTGGGAAAACAAAATGCAAGCCTTCTATCACTGCAGTGGCGTTGGTTTTTAGAGTTTCCCGTTGTATTTTTTCAACACTTTTAAAACGTAAATGAATTTTTGGTGGTTTGGTTTGGTTTTGTCATGCGACACATCAATTGTTACATAAAAAATATCTTGAGAAGCCGTAGAGGATAACTTAGCCAGTAAAGCTGTAGATGGTGTTTTTTAAAGTTAATTGAGTTATGGCAAATTTTTTTTTTTTTTTATTTACTTATAAAAGACTTTCCCAACAAAAATTTAATGAGGAAGATTTGTAGTTCATCTTTAAGGATTTTGATAAGAATACAACTGTAAGTTCCTTCCAAGAGGACTTAGTCGGTTATTTGGATTTTTATGCCAAGAGCAGGGCCTGGCCCTTGGTTGAGTTTTGGAGAGATCGTATAAGGAATGCAAACTTTTCAACTGAAGCAAAGCTGATTTCGTCGGTCCCTGGTTACCACAGTGGTTTGTTTTCTTTTTGAAAGTGAATTCCACTATGCTTTTACTAAAACTTTAGAGTGCAGTTTTACTTCAGTAAATTTAAGAATGAGTTACTCAAACGGTTTTCAGGTAGGAATATGGTAAAATTTGGACACATGCGGCTGCGCGAGTTGTTATCAGCTATGGATTATACTGTTGAAAAGCCTATTTATCATGCTCAGTCCAGTTCTATCGGTTCTTTGGGTTCTAAACCGGAGGCTTGGTTGCTAGGTCAATTTTTACGAAGCATGAACCGTGGCAAAAAATTAGGTCAGCCTTATGCTGCTTTGGAACTGTTAGTAGACAATTTTTGAAGTTTTGATGTTTGTATTATTTTGCACGTTTGGTCTCTTGTACTATTAAGGTTTTGATGCGCCACTTCTTAAGCTTATAATTTTTCACAAGAAGCTTCTATTGTTACGATTCCGTATAATTTATTTTTTGTTTTGGCGTTTCCAGAACAAGAGGCTCTAAGAATTATCTATCCTTGTGTGGAAGATGTTCGCAACTCAATAGAGGGGTATGTAGCTGGAAGTTCTTTACCTTATTCAAAGGCAACCTCGAGTCGGCAACCTTATTTAATGAGTATGTTACACAAATGGAGATGTGAGAAGCTTGGAAGAACGCGAGCGATGCCACATTTAAAAACTTACTCGGCATTTAATGATGGAGAAACAAAGCCGATTTGGTTAATAGTCACCAGCGCGAATTTGTCAAAGGTGTTTACGACAGACTGGAAAATTTTTTTTTTGTGAATTTACTCAGCTTTCTGAGGTGTGTAAATCTTTTGTCGCGGTTTGCAGAGTCTGATAAATTTTAGCTAAAAATATTGTGTGACATTGAAAACATGATTAGTTTGAAGATGTCTTTAACCTTAAATCTGTTCCTCATTTCAGGCCGCTTGGGGGGAGCTGCAAAAGAATAGTACACAACTGGCAGTTAGGTCCTACGAACTCGGTGTTCTATTGACCGATGACAACTCATTGAATATGCTTCCGTATGATATGCCCCTAACAAAATATTCAGCTACTGATAGAGTCTGGGTTTGGGATGACATTTATAAAGAGCCTGACATATACGGAACTTTTTGGCCCCCGTGATTGACTGAAAAACCGATAACTGTTGCAAGAGCTTGTAAGGTTGTCTCTGTACCATTTACATTCTCTTGGTTGACAGCAGCAGCGTCTCTAAAATTTCATGGTCATTTTCCATTGTTTTGAAGAAACTCGATCAGAATTAGAATGTTGTGACATTTTTGCGAGACATCAACTTTTGCAGCTTTGGAAATGTTGTCAGTTATCTTGAAGCTAGATGTGTTTTTGTATGTTGTGTTAATGGAATAGAATATGTATTGATTTATTATGGCATTGTTTTTATGTCTAAACTGGAGTGTAACCTTTAGTTAATTTCGAGTTTATATTTTTACAGTAAACAGTTATGTTGCCCCCTGTTTCTATAACTCACCCATTCTCTATGTCTCTTTTCATAGCAGGTACTTCCATCATCGATTTGTTAACTCGTTTCTTCTGCTAAAGATAATCGTGTAGTTGGTTGTTTTTAAAATTAGGTTTTCTACAAAGATTTTCCTAAAATGTCTCAAAAAAGTCGCAAACACGCGTGTGGAGTTAAGATGTTGCCTATATAAGGGGACTTAGATTGTTTGATACCAAAGCTAACAAAAGTGGCTGCTTTCAACCTCTACTTTGTTCTCAGCAAATATGAGTGTCAGTTGTTTAGCGAAACGTGAACAGTTCTTACTGTCTTCATCGCACAAAACAGTTTATTTCTGGTGGGTGGGGCAGGACTGATCTGCCTCAAGTAGTGCATGAAGTTGGAGATTGCGAGTCCTTTAATGGGGCTTCAAGAAATCTGATTAGAAGTAGTTGTAAGTTAGATGTTTTTGGAAATGGAGTAGAGTCTGCTTTGTTCTTTATTCGTATTATCAGTAACCGCAAGTCTAATGAGTTATTGTTGACGGAAATAAGGAGGGAGGAGTTTGGTATTTTTACTTTGCGATCATATCCGTGAGGTAAGGAGTGGTGTTCGCCTTTTTCTTTTGCTTCAGGCTTCTGTTTCCAGGAGGTTTTTGTATCGGGACTTCTGAATTGGGTATTTCGGAGGAGGTTTTTGCACTTTTTGGCAGCTTGTTGGGTACTTTGATCGTAATTGGTTTCTGCTGTTTTAGATGCTAAAAGTAGTAGACCAACGGATTCTTTCGTATGGTGACACCGTACTTTATCAGAGTGATGTGGACACTTTGAAAGAGGGGCATTGGTTAAGTGACCGTATACTAAGTTTTGCTATTGAATATTGTTATGATACAATGCTGAACGATGAACAGAAGGAGAAAGTGAAGTTTTTGCTTCTTTCTGTTCTTTACATTTGCTGATTCATCGATGTTTTGTTTTTATTGTTTAACCCGTCTATATGACATCTATAGGTCTGCGTTATACAACCTGTAGTCTGTCAGATGCTGAAATTCATGGATCTTAGTAGTGCACTTGCACTTTGTGAGTCGTTGGCTATCAGTGAGAAGGAGCATGTGATATTTGTCATGAATGATCACTCAGACCCTTCCTCTGCTGGGGGATCTCACTGGTCTTTGCTCATTTATAGACCAGGAGAGCCGTACTTTACCGTGGTTGATAGTCTTTCGGAGCCTTCCCTTGCTACTGCAAAACAGGTGCTGGTTTTGCAATAAATGCAGAATTTAAGTACACTTTAAAGAAAGTTCAGTTTTTTAAGACTCAAAAGTTTTGTGGTTATTGGGTCGTGCAAAACATATGTATCTTTGTTGTTGATTTTTATGTCAAATTTTAGCTATTAAAAGTTATGGCCAAGTGCTTGGGTCTAACCGCTGCTGAGTTGCGAATTGCAAATGTAACGAGGCAGCATAATGGCAGCGACTGTGGTCTGTATGCAATTGAGTTTGTTCGTCTTTATTTTGAGGTTTGTGAAGATACTCTAGACTTTCCTCGTTTATTCTGTCTTTTAAGAAGTCTTTTACTTTTTACAAGACATCTCACTGAAATTTTCTGCTGGGGAAACCTCTTAGAAAAGTAATCTTCACGATTTAAGTTTATTCAATAAGATTCAAACGATTTTTCGGCATTTTATTTTTGCTTTCTCTCATTATTTCAGAATATTAGTAAAGATCCGTCCTCCGTTGACTTTTCCAGTATAACTCGTGAAAAAGTTTTCGGGCAACGAAATTATTGGAGTACCTTAATAAATAACCTCTACAATGAAGAAAAGAGTATCCCAGGCACATGTGTTAGTTGAAGTTCTTATTCGTATTATGTGTATTGTAATGAGATGCTGTCTCTTAGGATGACTACAGATTCAAGTTTTAGCTATATTTTTACTACGTGATACCAGCTAGAAGCTCGATCTGTGTCATAAGTTGTGGAGACTTGCATATTTTGTGTTTTCTTTTGTATGAACTTCTATTTATGCTTTTCATGTTAGTCACGTTAGTGTCCTGCAATTTATAATGAGATTCATTCTTAAAGACGAACCTGTCTTTGGTTTAAAAGTTCAACTAATGTCCGGTATTTCATGGAACGAAGCATACTGGGCCTACGAAACGGTTTTAAATAGTTTATTTAGTTACATTTCTTATTGTGGAGTTATACACTTTATTAGTAGAAACACTATTTAACTGTTGCACAGTCGTCTGAAAACTTGTTTATCAAAGTCATTTTGAATCACAGAGCTCTTTAGTCCAGTTTTCGTTAAACAGTTGCTAAATCTCCCTTTTCTTCTGCTTTTATCATCCTGCTAATTTGGTGGAGAAGCTTCATCTGGTTGTTTAGATGTATTGCGTTTTCTAACTTCTGTGAGTGCAGGAACATACTGTTTTCATTTTTAGAGGTATTAGAAAACAAATTTTGCGTTTTACATCAATTTTTGGGATGTTACCTCTTGACTGCAGTTTTTTTTAAAATGTAGATTGGTGGCATGACGAAGATTCACAATTACTACTTCTTTGACAGCGACTCAAATAAAGTCTGTAATATTTCTCTACTAACTGCCAAAAGTTTTAGGTCGAAAGTTGTGATGTTCAGAAATTAGATTCTAGTAAATCTTTATTTTGCTTGTTTCATTCGTATCAACGAATAAAGTCTGGTGCTGATTTATATCATTTTTTTTCAAGTTAGATTCCAGCTTTTTGAGCTTCAGTATTTTCTGGTGTTATATTTGGCTTATCTTGCAAGGCTTGGCTGATTGACGAAAGGAGTGACAAGCATGATGCGAAAGAGCATTCAAACAGACCTTGGGACCTTGAAGATCTGCTGTTACATTTCTATGCTTGGAATTAATAGGGCCCGTACGTGTGTCTCCACTAAAAAACTCACTTATTTAGGTTAATGTTGATTCCTGTTTTTAAAATAGCGCAGGATACAGAAGTTTTGTGGCTTACCATCCAAGCACCGTATGCTAACGTAAAAGATGCAGAAGTCGAGTGGGAGGGTCACTCTGTTATTTTTTGTTCGAAGCCATACTTTTTACGCTTGAACTTGCCTCGAGAAGTCGGTAGTAGTGACGCGGGTCATGCTGAGTATAACTGTGGTGAAGGTATGCTTTTTGTGTGAAGCACTCATTTTCCTGTTGGTTATCCCGCACCTTTCAGGTAAATTTGTTATCACGATTCCTAAAAAGAACAAAGGTGAGTACTTTCCAAACCTTAACATGGTTACGGAATTATTAAAACCGAGCGGCAAAGTTTCAGCAGAACCAGTGGTGGTTGAAATGGAGGCGTTCGAAAGTGGCCTTCAAGGTTGAATTTAACTACTAGATTCTAGGATTTTCTATTTTACTTTAATGGTTGACTGACTTGATTGGTAGATCGCTTAATTTAAAGGCATTCATGGACTTGTTAGTTCTTGCTTCCATTTAGAAGGTTCTGCGTCGAGTACATCTATGGGTCACTTGATGCAATCAGGGAACATTAATATAGGAGAGAAGGCTTTGAACTTTGGTTATGGTTTTGCCTGGCGTCGTTACGGCGTAATTGAAAAACTGGCTTTTGAAATTGACAAACTTATTGATTTGGCAAAGCCAGAAGAAGTGCCTATTGAGGAAAGGACACTTGACTGTTCGATTTTTGACCATGAGCACTTTAATGCGGAACATTACTTGTATAATTTGGGACTTTTAAAATAGCATTTTTACCTCATAGTTTGAAGCATAGTGCATTGTTATAAGGAAGTTTTATGGTAAAAGCAATAAAACTTTACCAACTTCCTTATAAGCTTTTAGATTTTCAGCTTAACTAGTTTTTTTATTTATTAAGTCGAATTTAGAGCAGATCTCTACGAACCAGATGAATTGCTAACTGCATCGCTGAGTTTTAAGCCTTCTACTTCTCTTCAAGGACTTTCTGATGCGGATAGAGGGCACCTGAAAGAACTTTCTCGACGTAGAGCTCCTAAACTAAAGTCTGAAGAAGAATATGAGGTAGCATTATCTTTGATTGATATCTTATATTCTTACTTGTACGATATTAGGACGACCAGTGGAGAACACAGTGTGGAATCAGGTAAAACTTGTTTGTGAAAATTGTATAGTAGGCGAAGTCTACTATATCGCTCTGTAATTTGCACTTGTTTTATTTGCACTTTGTTTTTTTATTAGGATGGAATATAGTGAAGTTAAGCGCGACATTAACTTTTTTTGTGAAGTGGAAGAATGCTAGGGAAGCAGTGGTTAGTGCGACTCGGCGATCGCTCTGTTATCCTCTTTATCGTTGCTGGAGTCTTTCATATCTAATCCTGAAAGATCTTAAACAGCTTCTTTCAAGTGGTAAACAATGCTATATCGACTTTCATAACTAATTTACTTACCAAAAGTATCTAAGTTATATAAATAAGTGTAACTAATACTTCCCCTTTTTTGCCTAGGTCGAACTGCTATGTTACACTGTTTGACGGATGTCAGGGCAATACTGTCTACAAGCGGTGACTACAGATATCTTTTAAATGAACTTTTCATTGATGATTATTGTATCTGGATACAGTCTGTTTCTGAATCGGTTCTGGATTCATTAAAGGAGGAAGTTGCTGCTATAGAAATCTCAAAAGCCGACGTTGGTTTAGGTCTTGAAGATTGGGAGATAGCAGCTGAGCTCCAAATGTTAAATATCGCTGAAAGAAAAGAACGTATTGATTCTGATGATGAACCATGACT